CACCATTCAATATTTTGCTCATAGAATCTTTCCATATTGCAACTTGAGGCTTAAATTTTTTCCTCAGTTCTTTCAGCTTGAGAAATGCTGAACATGTTCTTCCCTTTTGGTTTTCTAACTCCAGGTCTTTGCACATACAGTAATTGGCTTTGTCTGCTTGAGCTGTTCTTTGAAATTTTCTGTTCAGCTCTTTTATCTTGTCATGTCTTCCATTTGCTTTAGCTACTCTCCACTCAAGGGAAAGTTTCAGAGTCTCTGGACTTTAGGCCTCCAAAACTATGAGAAAATAAATTTGTCATTTAAAGTCACACATTTGTAGTATTTGTTACAGCAGCACTAGGTAACTAAGATAGAATTTGTACCAGGAATGGGGTTCTGCTGTAAAAAATACCTAAAATTGTGGAAGGGGCTTTCAAATTAATTGGTAATGAGTGAAAACTGGAGGAATTTTGGTGCACTTGCTAGTAAGAGCCTCAATTGCCTTGAAGAGACTATTGGTAGAATTATGAACATTAAGGGTGATTCTGATGAGGGCTCAGAAAGAATTTCAAGTTGTGGGGAAAGCTTCTATCATCATGAACAGAATGTTGCTAGAAATGTGCTTCTGATGAAGTTTTAAAAGGAACTTATGAATATGTTATTCCACTGGAGGACAGGTGGGAGGAAAGATAGAAATGAACTATGATAGAAATGAACTATGATCTTGACGATTTGGAAAGTTCAAATGTAAAAACTAAAAGACCATGTCATAAAATTGGTAACAAGGGTATGGGTACACAATCTTTGGCTAGAGATTAGGCTTGTGATTGATGGATATAATTCACCAACTACAGAAATCCTGTTGGATTAGGCTGAGAGACAGGATGAAATTAAGGAAAAACTGTCTGCCTCCAGAAATTCTACAGACAGAAAACGGGCTAATGGAGCAACTTGGTTAACATCTGTTGTCCTTCAAGAAAAGGAAGGATCCCAGGAGATCAGCAGGACTGTTGGAAGAGAGTACAGGCTGCTGTAAGGGTGGTCCAGAACTGGCTGCCCAGGCTATAGGGGTAGGGTTACCATCCCACTGGGTCTGGAAGGAAAGGCTGACTCCCAGAGCCAAAGGGCCTTAACCTGGAGTCTAGAGATCACAGCCAATGCCCAGAGTCTGGAGGTTAATGTCACTGCACAGATGTGCTTGGAGGGCAGAGGATTATTTTCAAACCTGGAGAGTGCCAATGAGATTTGCCTGTTGAGTTTTGGACTTCCTTGGTACCTGTGACCACTTCTTTCCTGTCCAGTTCATACTTTTTGAAACAGAAATGCCTACTCTTTGTCTATTCCACCATTGTACTTTGGAAACAGGTATCTTGTATTCTAGGTTTCATGGGTCTACTGATACAAAATAATTTTACCCCAGGATGGAACACACTTACAGATGATTTACATGATTTGGAATATGATATTTTGAATTTAAAGCTAATGCAAGGATGGGTTAAGAATATGGGGATGATGTGACTAGGTATGTTTTGCATGTGGGAAAGACATCTATATTTTTTGGGCCAAAGGGTGGAATGTTAAGAATTGAATTGTGCTTCCCAAAATATGTACTGAAATCCTGGCCCTTATACCTGTAAATATGATCCTGTTTGGAAATAAGGAAATCTTTGCAAAGTTAATTAGATCACATCTGAGGAGGCTAAGTTCTAAATCTCATCACTTCTGTGTTATAAAAAGAACAGGTTAGACACAAGGACACACAGGGAGAAGCGAAAGACAAAGGATAGAGAAAGATACATCTACAAGACCTGATGGCTGCTAGGTGGAACAGACAAGGAAGAATCACCCCCTAGAGCCACTCCCTGAATTTGGACTTCTAGCCTCCTGAACCATGAGAAAATAAATTTCTGCTCTTTAATCAAGGCCACCCACTTGTGGTATTTGTGTTATAGTAGCATTAGGTAACTAAGACAGCATTGCTTCTCCAAGTGTGATCCATGGACTTACAGAGCATTAAGATCACCTGGGGGCTTGTTAGAAATGTAGAAACTCAGGCCCTACCCCAGACCACAGTACTAGAATTTCTAATTTATAAAGATCTTCAGGTGGTTGCATACACATTAAAGTTTGAGAAGCACTACTTTATGGTATTTATCATTCCTTCAATTACTTCTCATAATAAATAGCCCTGAATGGTAGGCAGGTAGTAGGATGTCCATTTTACTTGTGAGAGCTGAGGGTAACAGAATTGCAAAGTCACACACTTAAAAGTAGAACTTGAACCCAACTCCTGAATCAATCTAGGGTTTTTCCATAATACCATGCTAATCCAAGAGAGAAGACTGCACTATAGATAAGGACCCAGGACAAAAAGTTGGTACAAGAGAGAGATCCTTGGGTCTTTTTATACATCTATTGGTACAATGTCCCCTGACTCTACTTTTTTATATGTTGCAAGAGAACTGTTTTCAGAACCATCAAGCACCTTCTAGGCACCCAAGGAATGTTGTCTGACACATCATGGCATTGTACTGACACTCTTTAAATACTGAAGTATCTCTCAGTGACTGCAGAAGCCCAGCATTTCCTGGGCCTGTCCTCACATGCAGCACCAACACAAAGTGAGACTCACTTATCGTCTTGATCCTAAACCAATCATCTCTACTCTCTACACACTTAATCCTGACTCACTAGTAATTTTCCAGTTTTACATCCAACCTCCTCTTCCATTCTTGCTTTCCTGTTAGGCAAATTTGGTGCCTTCAACAGTCTCCCTGAGGTAAAGCCCCCTTTAACTCTTGCTGAGCTCATAATCACTCACATGACAAAATTTCAGACATAACAAATTAATGAATTTATATTTGGTTTTCAATTAATTCTACCCCTTCTCCTAATTTTCCAAATTTAGCACAAAAGACCATCAGAGGAAAACAGCTACCAATTTTAAATATCAGGAAAGACAGCAACATCACCAGCATGAATGATGCAATGGATTTTTCTGGTCACTCTCAAACCTCTTAGATAATCAGAACTAGAGGTGATTCTGACTCCAGTGCCAGCCCTTGTATCCTCTCTCAGCTTCACCCTATACATTATGGAGAATAGTGACTTTTCACTTTCAGTGTCTTTGGCACCAATGTTTAAATTCAGCTAGCATAATGGTAAATACTTTTATTGTTAGTTTTATCAGAAAAACTAGTATATATAGGTGATTTTAAAAGGCATGATTCTTTATGATATACTAATTTTACTAGAGCCAGAGGTGATCATTTTTTCCCACAAAGGTAACTTCTGAGGTTAGAAGACAATGAAAAAATAGATTTCAATTTACAATTTACTTTTATCAAACTATCTATCCTAAAGCACATTAATCCCATCATATGAATGTGATTTACATTATATAATAAGTCAGTAAGAGAAGATACAAGCCAAAACTTGTTATTCACAAATCTTCACGTCAAACAACTATTTTCTTAAATTTAGAAGACAAAAAGTGTTTCAAATAACAGCAAACACTATATACTCTTGTAATGATGTGTAGTAGTCAACTTTAAGCTTTGTATTTTCCAGGTTTGAGCTGAAATAACCCTCACTAGTTACTTAACTTTTTTTCAGTCTTATTTTGGGAGTTATTTTTCTTTACTGAGCCTAATAAGAATACACTATTAAAATATAGTAATAATCCATACTGAGAGTAAGATACAGATGACTTTTTAACTCTTTAGGGACAAGAGTTCCTAGGAACACAAGTGAGTGGCCCAATTATCCCTGAGCTGGGCAGCTTCAACAAGATCATTTTTCCTGTGGGGCCACAGTCTGTGGTTTGATCTTCTTAGCAGCTTCCAAAACAGAAACTGGGTTTACTTTATCTCCAAACTCTTTCTCTCGGTGTTCAAGAAGAATGCCCTGAAAGGAAACAAAAGAGGTTATCAGTTTTCATTCTGGGGTTGTTTATTTGTAAGACAGATGTGGAACACTGGCTCTCCATAAAGCTCTGTGCTGGGCGGCAGGACACAAATGTGTATCAGGCCTGGCCCTACCCCTAAGAAGTCCAGCCTTAAGGGGAAGGTAGACATGGACAACAGGCTACACCACAGAATTTGGGCTGTACAAGCAGTACTTGGGAGGCAGGAAATCAGGAGTGATTACAAATATGAGTAATCAAGGAAGGCTGCATAGATGATACAGCACTTAGCCTAGTTGGTCCACAGAAGATAAGAGAACAGAATGCAGGAACACAGAAAAACCTGAAGATGTAGAAATCGAGCTCAGAGGTGAGGCTTTGGCAGGTTTTGAAAAACGATCTGAAAATTAACAGCCTTTTTCCTTTGTTGTTGTTGTTGTTATGTGCCGTCGAGTTGGCCCCGACTCATAGCGACCCCTCCTTGGGTTTCCGAGGCAGTATCACTACAAGTAGGATTGCCCAACCTTCCTTCCGAGGAGTGGCTGGTGGGTTTGAACCGCCAGCCGTCTGGTTAGCAGGCAAGTGTCTTAGCCACTATGCTACCAGAGCTCCCTTTTTCCTTTAGTCTTCCTAAGAAACCAGAAGCCTACTTACTTCTGATGAAACCAAATGCATTAAGGCACAGAAAACCATACCCCAAAGTTACTGCAAAATGGTAAAAGATAAAATAATGTGTTTGTGATAAGCATCAAGCTATCCTTGTTAAAAAGTTCTTTGACCCATTATGTACACCAGGGAGCTCCTTTTAAATAAATTAGAAAAAAAATCTGTAAATATTTATACCACATTGTGGTAATGACAGGGAGGCAAATCAGGAAATTTTATGTACTTGCTCAATCAAGCATTACATAGTCATTAAAATTCTGAACAAGAATATAAAAGACATGGCAAAATGTTCATAAACAAAAAGAGAACATCCACCCTGTAAGATCCCATTAAGTAAAAATAACCAAACAAAAGGTCACTCAGCTCCTTTCTGATGGGTTTTCCATGGGTAGTTGGGCTTAGAGAACAAGTCCCCACTCCCATTACTTTCTATAGTTCTGTTGTTTTTGAAATTCCTATGTTGTTGTTGTTGTTGTGCGCTGGGGAGTCAGACCCACTCATCGCGAGCCCTCCTTGGGTTTCTGAGGCAGTATCACTATAGAAGTAGATTGCCCAACCTTCCTTCTGAGGAGTGGTGGTGGGTTTGAACCTCCAGCCTTCTGGAAATTCCTATAGTGCATACATACCACTTCTTCAAAGATTATTAACACAAAGAAATCCCCATTGAGTGGCACCTGGTGTACTGGGACTTCAAAAACTGCTCCCAACTAAGGTTAAGTCTTGAAAATCAGCAGTCTACTCAAACTTCCACCAGGGTGGCTGAGAGGCAGGATGTACATCCTGCCCTAAGAGAATCAAACACTTCTAGCAACACCAGGAGCATGCCAGCCAGCCCAGGGAAACCCATGAGCACCAGGTGAGTCACTGCCAGGCATGAGGGGGCTGGAAAGTGGGCTGAGCTCTGCCCTGGGGGGCTGCAGGGAGACAGAAATGGAAAGTAGGCAGGGAGGCAGAAATGGAAAGTAGGCAGGGACCTGAGTGCCACAGCATTCAGTGTGTCAGAGCAGAATGAAGCTGAGTGAGCCTTGAAGAATTTGCCTGCGCAAGTGTAAAGGCAGGGTTCCTGGGAATCATCTCCAGAGGATGGCTATGGGCAGGAAAGCACAAGTTTCCTGGAATTGGACAGATCTAAGTTCCTGTGTTTTGCTTCCATTAGATTAGTGAGTAGCTATAAGTGTTTGAGTTATTGCATGTCTCTAGGCCCACTTCCTTACATGTACATGGGAAAGAAAAAATATCACACTCCAGTCTGGTTGTGAGAAGTAAGATCATTTGTATAAGTACCTGGAATAAGGCAGGCACTCATGGCAGCCATTATTAGTAAGACATTTTGATACATTTATGAAATAAATTCAGCCACACCCTTAAGGATAGACAGTAGAGAAAGTGAGAGAATTGGCACATATGTTTATGCTCAAGCAGATACCCTATCATGCTAGATTTTTATATAGAAAACCAGTAGAGTTGCCAAAGTTTACAAGGAAGAGATTAAAAAGTCAAGCTTAAAACGGGTGGATTTCTACCCCCATTAACTAAATTGGGAAATGTCTATCTACCATTATCAATATCAGTAGTGAGAGTTACCAAGGCAGACCAATCCTGTCTCTTTAGAGATGAAGCCAACTGTCAATGCCATACCCAAGTTTGGCAGAGACAAGCATCACAGTCAGGACACCGTTCCCCTGGTCATCTCACCTTTTTTTTTTTTTTAATTTTCACTCTGGTGAAAACATACAGAACAGGGCATTCACCAACATTAGCAACTTCCCCATTTACAGTTCAGAGACACTGATGACAATTTTTCATGTTGTGCCACCATTCTTGCTATCCTTTTCCAAAATATTCCACCATCATTAGCATAAACTCAATGTGCTACAAAACAAAAGCTTCCCCTTCACCTTCTCCCCAATAACCCTGGTAACCACTAATCATCTTTGGTTTACACACACACACACACACACACACAGCGCCTAAGACATTTGCTAACCAGAAAGCTGGTGGTTTAAACCCAAAAGCCACTCCGTGGAAGAAAGACTGGGCAATCTACTTCCATAAAGATTTACCGCCTCAGAAACCCTAAGGGAGTTGCTGTGAGTCAGAATAGACTCATCGGCAGTTAGTTTTTTGTTTTTTTTTTTTTTTAATCTAGGAATTTAGCCTCCCCTCCCCTCCCATCTCTGGGAACCAACAAACTAAGTTTCCTTCTATGTATAAACTTTTTCTTGACTTTTTTATAATAGTGAACTAATACAATATTTGTCCTTCTGTAATTGATTTATTTCACTCAGCATAGTGTCCTCCAGATTCATCCATGTTGTGAGATGATTCACGTATTCTTCGTTATTCTTTAACGTAGCATAGTGTTCCATTGTGTGAATGTTCCATAATTTGGCTATCCATTTATCTGTTGACAGGCATTTAGGCTGTTTCCATCTCTTTGCTATAGCGAATTGTGCTGCAATGAACATGGGTATGCATGCCTGTTCATGTCCTGTCTCTCACCTCTTAGGATATATTCCTAATAATGAGACTGCTAGTTCAAATGGTATTTCAGTTTTTTAAAGGAAACGCCATACCATTTTCCACAATGGTTTTACCATTTTACAGTCCCACCAGCAGTGTATGAGAGTTCCAATCTCTCTGCAACCTTGCCAGCATTTGTTATTTTCTGTCTTGTTGAACTTTGCTATTAATGCTGGGGTAAGATGGTATCTCATGGTGTTTTTGATTGGGATCTCTGTAATGGCTAATGACTGTGAACGTTTCTTCATGTGTTTGCTGGCTGCCAGAGTATCTTCTTTGGTGAAGTGTCTGTTCACGTCTTCTGCCCATTTATTTTAATTGGATTTTCTTTTTGATGTCAAGGTGCTGGAGTTTTCTATAAACTTCAGAGATAAGTCCTTTGTCTGATACGTTATTGCCGAATATTCTTTCCCATTCGTAGAGTCTTTTTTTACTCTTTTGATACACATAAGAATTTCATTTTCAGAAGGTCCCAATCATCTAGTTTATCTTCTGCTGTTTGTGCATTTTGGGTTATGCTTGACTGTCTATTTATAACATAAATTAGGGCCCCTAAGTTTGCTCCAGGAGCTCTGGTAGCATAGTGCCTAAGGCACTTGACTGCTAACCAGAAGGCTGGCGGTTCAAACCCACCAGCCACTCCTCGGAAGGAAGGTTGGGCAATCCTACTTCCGTAGTGATACTGCTTCGGAAACCCAAGGAGGGGTCGCTATGAGTCGGGGCCAACTTGACAGCAAATAACAACAACAAGTTTGCTCCTATTTTTTCTTTGACGAACTTCATAGTTTTATGTTTTACACTTAAGTCTTTGACCCATCTGGAGTTAGTTTTTGTATATGGTGTGAGGTATGCATCTTGTTTCATTCTCCTGCAAATAGATATACAGCTTTCCCAGCACCATTTGTGAAAGGGACTCTCTCTTCCCCATTGAACAGATTTTGACCCTCTGTCAAAGATAAGCTGACCACAAGTGGATGGATATATTTCTGGGTTCTCAATTCTGTTCCCCTAATCTATGTTTCTATCATTGTACCAATACCACACTACTTTGACAACTATGGCTGTGTAGTAGGTTTTGAGATCTGGGAGTGTGAGATCTCCTACTTTGTTCTTCTTCAGTAGTGTTTTGCTAATCCAAGGTCTCTTTCCTTTCCATATAAATTTAGTGATGGGTTTTTCCATGTCTTTAAAGAATGCTGATGGAATCTAGATAAGGTTTGCACTGAATTGAAAGATTGCTTTGTATAGTACTGATATTTTCACAATGTTCAATCTTCCTATCCATGAGCATGGTATGTTCTTCCATATATGTAGCTCTCTTGTAGTTTCTTGAAGTAGTGTATTGTAGTTTCCTTTATGTCTTTTGTGTTCCTGGTAAGATTTATTCCCACGTATCTTATCTTTTTGGTAGCATTGTAAATGGTACTGATTTCCTTGTTTCCTTTTCAGAGATCTCATTGCTGGTGTAGAGGAATCCAACTGATTTTTCTATCTTGATCTTGTATCCCGCCACTATGCTAAATCTTTCAATTTTCCAGTAGTTTTCTTTCTAAGTCTTTTGGGTTTTCCATATATAAGATTATATATATATATATCTGCAAACAGGGATAGTTTTTACTTCTTCCTTACCAATTTGGATGCCTTTGATTTCCCTTTCTTGCCTCACTGCCCTGCCTAGGACGTCTAATACAATGTTGAATAGAAATGGAGAGAAAGGGCATCTTTGTGTGGGTCCCGTTCATAAGAAGAATGGTTTCAGGCTCTCTGCATTGAGAATAATGTTGGCTGTTGGTTTTGCATATATGCCTTTTAT